GGAGCTGTGCCAGCTGTGGGTGCCCATGGGCGAAGCATGTCAGCCCTGGCACCGGTGACGTGTCCCGTGAGCTGTTCGGATCACGTCTTGCAGAGGCGGCATTCACCTGGCAGCCACCGTCCTGCTCGGGGCACAGGGGGACACAGCCAGTCCCAGCTTGTGTGGGAAGGTCTTGGGGAGCGCTGAGCCCCCATGTATGGGGCCACGTACATGAATTTGTCCTATTTAGGTCAGAAAGCATCAGGAGGTGGCTCAGCAGGGTTTCCTGAGGGCAAGCGGCTTCGGGCATCTTGGAGGAACTTCTATAAGTGAAAGCATTTTTGCTCTTGAGGGTTTGCTTGTCCCTCTCTGCTCTGTGCAACAAAGCAAAGAGCAGAGCCAAGGGGGAATAAAACTTCAGCATCACCAGCCAGGGGAGAAGGGATGGGAGTTGCTTGCTCTCCCAGCATCATGTCTTTGCCCGTGACACCCAGCTCCATCTGGGCACAGGGACAGAGGCAGCGGGAAGGACTGGGGGCCTGTGGGATGGGTGGTGGTGAAGCCAGTGCTTCGCAAAGCCTCTGCAGGGAGGACTCGGTGTGTGAAAACATGGAAACCACGATAGGTTACGGTCAACCTGGCTCCACGGGATGGCTGAAGCGATCAGAAAGTGGTGGTGGGAGGGATGAGCTGAGGTAGGCATTGGACCAGTTTGGAGACAGGTGGGAATGGAAACGCCAGTACCAAGCTCTTCCCAACCTTGGGGAGGTCCTGTCACCTCCAGACTCCAAGTTCATGGCTTGGAGCCATCTCTCGTTTAGTCCCAGTGAATTACCGAGCCCCAGGAAGCCTACCTTACTGAGCCTTTTGTAGAAGTCAAGGGCTCAAATTGAGCAGGAGCTTGGGGAAACCGTTTCCCTTGTTAAAATAAATGTATTAGTTTAATACGTACCAGGAGAGGATAGGGAGTTCTCCTTGTTAAATATTTACCAGTCAAACCCTGCTGAGGACTTACTTGGAGCAATTCAGCTTTAGTGATTTCCTTCTATTGTGGTCTGAGTCTCCAGCATCGCTGGGAAACCGCCCGGCAGGGCGGGGGCTGAGCGCGGCCCAAAGCCCCGGGCAGCGGAACCACAGCCCGGATGGCCACCCGTCGTGCCCGGGACACTGCGAGGCCGTGGCAGGTGCCCTAATCCACCTTGAGACCTCCATGAGGAGGCCGGCAACAGCCCAGAGCAACGGAGCGAGCAACCTGGTTTCCGAAGGGGAACAAGGCGCAGCAGAGATGCCCGACAACCAGGCAAAAATAAACTGGGGGGAAAAAAAAGAAAAGATGAGTAGAGGCACAAAATGTTGTGCTGTGCCTTACCTGTCCTGGCAGCCCCTGAGAGCATCGTTATAGCATTTTCCCAGCCAGGCCGCAATGAATTTTAACAAGGAGTCTAATTTCTGTGGGGGCTGAGCCCCTTGGGAGTGCATATCTTTGAAAAGAACCCAAACTGTGAATTACCTTCATTTCCCTAAGACGTCCCTCCTGCCACCTGATGGTAGAGAGAAGCCATATTCCAATAATCTCCCATAGCTCAGGATTTCCTGACATAGCTATTCTATTTATATGAACAATTTTATATTTATGTTATTTACGTGTATATATACTAATTTGACACACATCTATGCTAATAATTTAATTATCATTTACAAGTTCATACTCCATCAATCTCTGATGGTTCAAGCTTGCTTAACATTGGCAACACATTTCTTTCTAAACAAGCTAAATTCAGATTATTTGTATTTTTGGTGACTCCACATAGTTTTGTAACCCTGTTACCTCCCCTTAAACTCCCTAGAATAAAATGGAAGTACCAGGCATGGAAAAACATGGAGGATCTCTATGGGCGTCTCTATGGAAATGCTCAGGACCGGTCGATCACTCGCACTCCTGAATGCAGCGATTGCAGATTTTCGAGGATCGTGTCGGGACGTATTTTTTAAAGAATGACTCTATTAATAACGTTAAGAGAAAACAGATGCGTCAGGTTTGCACCCAGGGATGGGGATATTCCAGGAGACATCAATTGTTAGAAGTAAACAAAAGCCCTGATTCAACAAAGCTCTTAAGCAGACACTTAACTTTAAGCATGCACTTAACACGGGCTTCAGCGGGCGGTAACATATGTTCTGCTATATAAGGAGGGACTTAAGTACGTACTTACAGTTAAGCTTGTGCTTAAGTGCTTTGTTGAATTGGGGCCAATACTTCAGCTCTCCCTGTGTCTCCCTGACACTAACTGTGCCTGACATCAGGAAATTCAAGCGGGGGTTGCTGTACTCACCTACCCGCATCGCTTTTCCCTTCCGACAGCGGCTGCATCTCTTTTGCTCTCTGGCGGGGCCAGGCCATCCACGCACCTTCGTGTGCCCACTTCTCCCCACTCCGTGGGAGCCCCACACCACAGGGCTCGTGGGGTCACTTGTGGGGAGACCACGGAACCGTCACACTTGTCATTCTCTATGAAGACCCCCACCTAGAAGTCTGCTGTGCCTTTATTTTTGTTGGGTTGTAAAACAAGGTGTTTTTCCATAATATTTCTCATGTTCATAAAAGACGCTTGCCTTCTTTGTGCTTTGGTTTCAGGTGTTGGGTTTTGGTTTAGTTCTGAGCACTCTACTGAGTTGTGCATATCAGCAGGTGAACTTGAATGGGAATGGCCTTAGTGTCTTCACGGGTTGCTAATGACCTCCTGAATCAGCCTGGATGCTCTAAGATGCCCTCATCATCAGCCTGAGACTCTTCTTCTTGGCTGTATGTCACCTTCATTTCAGACCGAAGTTACTGAGGATGAAGGTCTTCTCATTCTGGTCATGGTAATGGCACTTTGAATCAGCATCACTGGAAACCTGAAAGCCCAGCTCCCAGTTCATCATCTTTTGTTGGCTTTTATTCACAGTGAACCAGATATCTCTGAAAACCCAGCGGATCTTGTTTCGTGAGCCGGGGAGAGCTCAGTGAAAGCGGGGACCAAAGTCGGTACCTCCGGACCCAAATCACGAGGCACATCCTGAACCAAGCATCTCCAAAGGTTTCCCGATCTGTAGGTGAAGTTCTGCCCTTCCTGCAATCAAAGGGAACTTTTGCACTTGCTTCAACGCGGCCAGAGCTTCTTCCTCCCCAGGATTTTTTTTCTGGACAGTTTTTAAACTGTGGGTATGGCAGAAGCCCTCAGGAGCAGAGGAGCCTGTTGGACAGCAAACCTCTGCCTTTCCGAGCCCCAGATTTCTGCCTACACCACCCCTCTACCTAGAAGGTCACGGCTGGAGACGCACGCTCATTGTAAAAGAGAGAATTTTGTTTTACCAGTCAAAGCCAAGCGTGATGAACCTGTGGCCTTCAGTTAGACGTGACTCAGGGAGCGCTGTCTATATACTAATCTAAGTTTTCTTAGAAAAATAAAGACCTCAAGGACCAGCTTTTCACTGCTTGTTTTCTTTGCAGATGGCAGCATCCAAGTTCCTGTTATTTCTGTCTTGGAAAATAAAAAAAGCCTACCAGAAGAAAAGGAATGTGAGTTTGCAGCACAGTTTGGTACCTGGAAGACTCCAGGCTGGAGCGCACACTCATGATTTATGGTGTACTTGTTAAAACCACTTGTTCTTGTCATAACAAAGCAGATCGAAGTGAAGCTGGGTAGAAGGTCTCCTTCTAGTTGGCACTTCATCATGGCTGCTTACTCTGTCTTAGGTTCTGGGGGTTTACAGTTATATAAAACTTAATGAATCAGTATACTTTA